TCCTTTCCACGTGCTCGAGTTTGTAACGCGATGCCTTCATTATCTCAAAAGCTATCTGTGGACAAAATCCATGGACTCTCTAGACGGATTTATACACATGAACGAAGAAATAGGTTTCCCTCTCAGCAGCCAGTCAGTGAAGACGACACTGCTCAGTGGCCTCTGATTCCTGACCCCTCTACCCTCCACGGCCTTTTCTCTATTTTCAGCCTTCCATCGAGTGCTCGTGTTTTCTCGTACAATGCACAATCAGTTTACACGCAATCAGGTATAGACCCGAGACACGCCTGTGCTCTCTCTCCATGTCAGGACCCACAGCTACGTCGACAGGGGTTCCCTCGACGTCCCCGTCGGTCGTGTGGCTTTGCTATCAAATAGGTCGCTGTTTTCCTCGCTCTGGTACTACGAGATGTTAAATGTTACCGCAAAGGAAAGACAGAAAACACAGCTGAAGGCCGGCGTCAGGCTTACCAGCCGTGCTCCTCCAAGTCGTTGTGCAGCTTCTGAAACGTAGTTTATCGCTGTAAATATGTACAAGTTATGTTAGCTTGTTTATCCCCGAAACACAAATAAAACGTTTTTTAATGAAAAATGCCGACCCATTAAAAAGCTTACTTTGTACGATGTTTTAAAACATGCAAGATTTCAGGCATATCTTTTTATAATTCTTAAAAAAATGTTTAGAATTCCGAATCTATCATTTGAGAGCTTTTATTACGAAATTGAATATAATGATAAATCCCTTTATGTGGAAGAAATGATTTGCAAGACGATATAACAATTGGGGAGAAAATACGCCAGCCCTTTTACAGAAACTTGTTTCTGTAAAAACTTTGATTAAAAAAATATATATTCTTTGAGATAACACGCCTTACAAACATATGACTATATGGAGCGTTTATATCTTAGGGGGAAAAAAAAGAATGAATAGTCTCCTTCTAATCAAAACTGATGCCTAAAACTGACTTAACAGCACCCCCTGTGAGGTGCAGTATGTCCAGTCTCTGGAAATCGCCACTGTAAATATGAATAGTAGGCGTGGTCTCTCTGTCAGTACCTCCTCACTGACGACCTCTCACTCCCACTCACGTCCTCTCCCATCAGAAGGAATGTGCTGACAATAAAATAATGAACAGACCGAAGGGTGAGGTCCATTTATCCACTCACTGTGGTCAGTACAATCGCTTCTCGGCAGGTGCCTGTACCGCAGCCTGGTGATGAAGTTAGCGTCCATTTACAGGTAGCTGGGGAGCACCCCTGTCCCGGCTGCCTGCTGGCCGGGAGCACCCCACACTGCCTGCCATTCCAGAAGACGGTACTCAGCCCTCCAGCTTTATTTAAGTCAGAAAGGAAATCCATGAGTGAGTACCTACCTGACATATTTAGGATCTGCGAGATCAGTAAGAAATAAGACAGGTGCCTAGCGTCCAACGTCCTTCTAAACAGAAGGTGGGCGTGCACTCCGCGAGCGGTGAGCAGGAATTAGGCACGGGCCGTGGGGAAAGGCCGGGGAGAGGCGGTCAGCGAGTCTCGGCTCAGAGCAGAGTTTCATTTAGACGGGAAACCGACTAAGGAAACGCCCCCAGGCGCAGCCCAGCGTGAACACGTTCGCGTCACCACTCAGGGAGGGCCTGAGTGCTGGGCAGAACCGGATGGAAGACCGAGCCAGACCCCGCGCCCGGAAGGTTCTCCCGGACATCTGGAAGCGCATGTTTGCGTCGTCGGCATGTCTGCCTCGCAGCCGCCGGTATCCAAGGTATTGCGCTTCCGAGACCATCGAATTACTTAGCTTTTTTTTTTTCATTCTGAGAAATTTCAAACACATTCACCATCCAAATTCTGTGACTATCAAGGGTCCACAGCTATCAGGTTACACTTGTTCATTGAATCGGTTCTAATTGTTTTTCTAAAGTGTTTTAGAGCAAAAGCTTCACCTGTGTCATTTCACTTACACATACCTGTAGGAATGACAGGCATTTCCCAAAACCTAGCCGTAACACCCTCAGCATACTGCCAAAAATAACTACTCCTTGATATTCCTTACTGTCCAGTCCCTAATCAATCCCCGGTTGTCTCTAAAATGCCTTTATACAGTTGCGGATTATCTTTCTCTTTTCTTTTTCAAATAAGGATGCAAGTGAGCCCCGCTTGTCGCATTAGTTAGATCTCTTCAGTCTCTAAGTCTAGAGTAATTTCCTCCCCCCCTCCCTTTTATTCCACTGGGGAAAAAAGAAAAACCTAGAAACTGCTTGCCCCTTGTGTGAGTCACCTCGGTCATTTTTCTCTAGAGATAACAACAGAATTTGCTTCTCTGAGATAAGCACAAAGTTAATTCACGACGTATGAAAGTTTTGTTTCCCCCCTGTGTGCGTGGAGATGGAAGCGTAGTGGGACAGGAGTACTTTGCCTCGTGCGCGATGGAGCCAGGGACCAGCTCCAAGCCCCAGCTGTGCCTGCACCTACACACCCACACCCGCATAGCGCGTTCCCGCAAGCACCAATCTCTGAACTGCATTCGGCTTTAACATGCTCGATTTCAATAGGCATTACCGAACGCACAGCAGTGAAAGAAAATTATGTCGCAGGGAGACAGAATTATTGTCCAGAAGAAATGAAATCCAAAGATGCTATTAAAAACATACTAAAAAAACCTTTTTTAATATAGAAAATACTTTGTTGGACATGAAAGCATTGTTTTAGTTTTTTTAAATGAATTTATTTTTTTTGCCACAGGGCACATGTTCACTAAAGTGAAAGTGAAAAATCACCCCTGGGGGATGGCCGCGAGCAGTCTCTTCTCTCCATCCTCACTCAGGATTTTGGGCACGCTCTTAAACGTGTCAGGCTTTTTTTTTTTTTTTGCATGCATGCGTTATTTCATTTATTTATCACGACCCTGTGATGTAAACACTATTAGGATTCCCACCATACAAGTGGGAAAGCAGAAGGGCACAGGAGTTTGTAAGTCAGCACAGCCACAGTTCGTAAGAGACATGCATTCCCCATGCCCCCCAACGATGCGAAGTGTCAGACGCCACAGCCCAGTGCCGTGAGACCTTGCGTTTTCATGCCTAAGTCCTGGCTTTGCTGAACTCTTGCTCAGAGACGTGACGAGATCCCTCTCCTAAGCCTATCTCCTCACCTGTAACCCTGAGTGTCATGGTCCCTGTGAGGAGGAAGTGGAAGACACGTGGAGAGCACCGGCCGTGCTCCACATCAGCAGTCATGACAGAAAGGGCTGCTGGGACCCCAGTGAGACGCTACCACGCTCAGGGCGAACAGGTGCAATTTGCAAAGGTGGGCCACACCAAGTCCTGGCAGACGAAGCTGAAACTCCCATGGGCTGTGATGGAAATGGTAAACTCATTCTAGAACAGGCTGGCGGTATCTTGAAAAATACACACTCACATGATCTCACCATCTACCCCCAACGTACTCCAGAGAAAGCTTAGGCCGGTAGGAGGTCGGCACATGACTGAGCACGGATTCTGGGTACTCTAACAGCCAAGTATTTGAAACAAACCAGACTTCCTTGAACGGTGGACAGACAAATCGTGGCCGAACTCTACAGCAGAATACTTCCCAATGATGAAAAAGAAAGAGCTGTTGACACGCGCGACACACCAAACTCGAGTAACACGCAAAAAGCCAGATTTTAAAAAAATAAATAAAAGAGCACACCGTAGGAATAGTGTAGGAATCCATTTATACTAAAGTCTAGAAAATGCAGCTGATTCGTAGCAATAAGGTGCCAGTGGTTACCGGGGGTGGGGGGAGATGCACAGGGAGGGACTAGGAAGAATGGAAGGGAACTTTTAGGAATATCAGTATGTTCACTGTCTTGATTGTGGTCGTATGTAATGGATGTGTGTGTGTGTGTGCACCCATGTGTGGGCATGTGTGTGTGTGTGTGTGCATATGTCAAAACTTACCAAACTGGGACCAGCAGTTAGCGTAATGGCTCTGTTGCTGAACTCCCATGTAGCCGACTGCAGTTTGAGTCCTGGATCCAGTGGTGTGTGTGCATGCCCAAGATCCCAAGAGGAGAATGGAGAAGGGATTGTGGCATGGTCATCCCCCCAGGGGGGGCGGTTTCTCGCTTTCTGTCTCTCTGTCTGTCTCTATCTTTCTGGTGAGCACACGTGCCCTATAGGAAAAACCTCTCCAAAAAAACTTACCAAACCGCACACTTTAAATCCGTGCCGTATAGGTGTACCGGTTAGATTTCAATGTAGATGTGGGATATGCTAATAGCGACACCACAGGAGACAGAGGAGAGACTTTCCCTTGTAACGGACACGCTGCGTGGAACTCAGCAGAGACCTTGAGCCTGCTGCTCCCTGAAGCTCCAAGTGTTCCGGCCCATGCCGACGTAAGGACCCTGCAGGAGTCAGTCACAACCACACCCGGCACAGTGTCCAGCTGACACTCTTCAGAACCAACATTTTTGAAAAACAAAGCAGTATTGGGGCCAGTGGGTGTCCTGGAATTTAAGGTGGCAGGATCTCACATGGCCAACTGCCGTGGTTCAAGTCCCGGACCCGGTGGCTTGAAAAACATGCCAGGCACTTAGGGGTGTATGCCTCAAACCCCAAGAAGACAAAGGAGGTGAAGGGATCGCATGACCATCCCCCTGCCCCCAGGCGATTTCTCGCTTTTCCTTTCCCTCTCTGCTGCTCTTCAGCACATGCACGTGCCTTCCAGCAAACTAAAGGGAGAAAAAAGCAGCATATGGATGGACATTGGCAGCCAGGCTCCTCGATAACCCTGGCCTGTGACAGCACGGCCAGGCACCAGTCCGCAGACACACGGAGCAGCACTGTGGAAGATACCCGAATTCCACGTCTCTCAGCCTAGCCTCACCTGCACGAGAACGCTGACAACTGTTCTAGCTCCCGAAGGGCAGCCTGACGCTCTAATGACCCGGAACGCTCGCAAATGGCAGGGGCCAATTACTTACCATCGAGTTATGCACAAAGTCATTTACAGAAAGCCAAACATAAAAATAAAATCTGACATTTATTTGTTCAGAAGGCTTGTTACTGAAAGTTAACGGACATTAACAAGTTTTTGTTTTCCAGTCAATGTGCTAACATCCCAAAGTGTGTGAAATGAAGAATTGATGACAAATGGACCTACCCTGCCTTACGTGACACTTGAAGAGTAATATATACACTATACAATGGTCTCTACTTCTCATCGGAGCACGGAGTCTTCCAGGCAAACAGACACGCCAAAGCGAACCGTGTCACTTTCATTTCCCGTGTTCCAGACTGCAGTTTCTGACGTCGTACTCGCCGATTGTTGACACGTTTATTTTTCGTGTTCATGTCTAACAAAGATTTCCTCTAAGAAACTTTACATTTTATGTTTCCTTTGAAATATGAGAATATGGAATGTCCTGAGTTATATATGCAGCTTACACATTCTTCTAAGAAGTTCTTTTTAAAATATCACAAATTACTTACATACCCATAATATATATCCTGGCTAGTCGAGTAATTCTTAAAGCAACATCCAAGCGTACTTGTGCTTCGTTCCCTTGCATTACTTTGGAGCCTATTTTTAGCTTTCAATAAACTGCGTATCTACAACATTTTTTCAAACATTTAATAAATGAGACAACACAATCATTAGGAAAATATAGATCGCTACTGCAGCTTTTTCAGCTTTCAGTTATCATTTCCTGTCAAACACGTCCTTTCCTGTTCCGTAAGGATGTGATGAATCTGCGTCTCGAAGTCCCCGCCGCCTTCCCGGCTGTGGCGTCAGTGGCCACGGTGGTCCAGGACTCGGTGCTCAGTGCGTCTCGGCTGGAGCAGAGCTGCGGACAGCCGTGGAGCCCGGCGAACCCGGTTATTTCAGCTGCAGGACCACCTGGAACACCGATGGGGGACACCTCGGGTTACAACAGGACGGGGCGGCAGTGCTCAATGCGCTGCTGAGATCTCTGAGGCCCTGAGGAGCTACCGCAGGCCCGGGCAGTGCACAGGAGCGAGGGCGCCCGCCGGGGCCTGCGGTTCACTGTCCACCTCCCCCCGAGGCCACATGCCCCCACCCGAAGGCAGGCCAGGCTTGCACTGTGATGTGACCACTGGTGCCTGGACCAGTCATCAGAGCCCAGTGTCTGGGTGACAGAGCAGGGGGGTTCAGGGTGGCCAGGGTCAGAAAGGCAGGCCTCGGTCACTGACCCTCGGTCACTAGGAAGAACAGCGAGCATCCACACACAGACAGCCATTGTCAGCTCTTCCTCATAGCAGCAGCTTCTACGGTTTAAATATTACTTTCTCAGGCCAACAGGGGGCACAGCGGTTACAGTGATGGACTCTCATGTGGTTGACCACGGTTCGAGTTCCGGACCCAGCGGCCTGAAACTCACGCTGGGTGCATGTGCACGTGTGGCCAAAATCCCAGAAGAGAGGAGGAGAAGGGATTGTGGTATGGTCATCCCAAGGGGGATTTCTCGCTTTTCCTCTCACTATCTCTGTCTCTCTCGCCTCTCTGGTAAGCACACGCTTTGTCACAATCACTGTGAGTAATATCCTATCTCCTGTACTTAGAGGATTATAAATGCAGTTTGCTATTATTTGCCACGTTATATAAAACATGGATTTCCAGGACTGGAACTTTTTTAATCATAAAAACTCTTCAGGATCAATTAATTTCATGGCCCCAGAGCAATAATTTTATTTTAATCATTAATGAGCACTGAAGCAAAACACATCCAGCTGTTGGAATAGGACTATTATTCTTTCAGAAATAACTACTTGATGAGTTATGCTCAGAATTAAATAACCGAACGTTACAAGGGGCAATTAATAACTAAAACTAGACAGCAGAGCATAGCCATGAAGTATCTGCTGTGCTTGACATAAAATACCAAGGGAAAAGAAACAGTAAGTGTGAACTGGGAAGCCAGCTCAGGCATCGGGGTGAAGACATGGGTCTAGCTCACAGCACGGTTCGAGTCCCAGACCCGGCAACACGCAAAACACGCCCAGAGTGTGTGTATGTGTGTGTGTGTCTATGTGTGTGTGTATGTATATGTATGTGTAAATGTGTATGTGTATGCATGCCCAAAACTCAGAAAGGAGGCAGACGTAGAGGAAAAGGGATTGCACCATGACCATTTTCCACGGGGATGCTTTCTCCTCTCTCCCTCTCTCTGTCCCTCTGGCCAGAGAACATGCCCTCTAGCACATGTACACGCACACACACACACACACACACACACACACACACAGTGGAACTGTGAGATTTCCTTCTACTGCTCTAAGGGTATACATCGGAAGTCAGACATTCAAACCATATGACAAAATTAAAACAAGTACCTTATTTGCGGCTTCCAAAGATTGTATTAGATTCTGTAGTTCTTCTTTACTCATTTCAACAGAATACGGTCTTAGTTCACCATTTTCTCTTACATCCAGATGAAGGTTTAGAAGTGGCATTTGTAATGTAGCAATCTTGTCACTAGAAAGTGCAAGCTGTTTAAAATTAGGAAAATAGTAATTAACACCTAGTATAAAGGACTATATTAAATATACATGAGAGTTCAGAAACAGTGCATTAAAAACCAAGGCTACTCCTGGGCCAGCAGGTGGTGTAGCAGATAAAGGCACTAGACTCTCACATGGCTGACTGTGGTTCGAGTCCTGGATCTGGTGGCTTGCTTTCTCATTTTCTCTCTCTCTCTCTCTCTCTCTCTCTCCACCTCTCTCTGGTAAGTAAATGTGCCCTACAGCAAATTAAAAAACGATAATAAAAATTAAAATACATAATTCTTTGAAAATAAAACAGAATTTAAATAAAAGGCTACTCCTATTTACTGTCAAATACGGGGAGGGTGGAAGGAATAAATTAAACTTATGCCAAAACAACACATATTCAAAGAACAGCAAGAGAAAGGGGAGTGGATAAGAGAGGAGGGGGGGAGCAGTCAGCAGTTTGGTGGCCGAGGAAGACCACCGGACCAGAGTTCTGCCCGGGGGTCCCCTGCACGTCCCACAGAGGAGGAAACAGAATTCCTGAAGAAGGTGAAAGAGCAAATATGGAAAAGCCCATGTACAAACATAAATGAGATTAAAACTCTGGTAAAAACACTCGGAAATGAAGATGCTCACTTCACTATCAGCTATTTACTGAAGTCCTGATAAATGTCATCACGATGCCATTCTTTTTTCTTTAGCTTTTTTTTTTAAGATTTATTTATTTATTTATCCATTAATTCATTCCTTCATTTTAATTTGACCAGAGAGAGACAGAGAGAGAGAGAGAGAAGAAAGTGAGAAAGCAAGCCACCAGGTCCAGGACTTGAACCGTGGTCGGCCATGTGGGAGTGTCCAGCGCCTTAACCACCACGCCACCTGCTGGTCCCATCTTTAGCTTTTTGACATAGGGCACATGTACTCTTCTGTGACAGATCAACAATGAGAACAAAGGTGAGAGACCCCTCCCTGGGGGGATGGCCACAGTCCCTTCTCCTCCATTCTCCCGCTGGGATCCTGGGCACGCACGCACATCCAGTGTGATCGTCAAGCCACCCGGCCCAGGACTCCCACCGTGGCCAGCCCTGGGGGAGTCCAGCACACCACCTGCCGGCCCCAGGGGTAGCATCTTTAATTACACCCACTCACCACGTTGACTTCACTTGTTAGTTTCGGTCTGCAGTGAACGGGAAGAACCAGATATTTACGGTCTGAATACTTTCGTTGACAGAGGGCAAAAGAAAACTTAGTTTCCCTGGAATCTGAGTCAGAAAACCCCATAATAACTACGCTTTTTGGAGGGACACCTTCCCTAACCAGCAGCCTCCAGGGTCTCCCTGCAGCTGTGCACTCTGGAATCAGATCCGGGTCTCTACCTGCTCTGACCAAGAGCAGGACTCACACCTGAGATCTGGAAGGATGCCTTCTGATGGCCTATCTTACCCGTACTTCTCCCGGTAATGCCAACAGGTGGTTTCTACGCCTCTGCCTGAACAGCAGCAAAGACAAGGAGTGTGCTACCTCAAGGGGAGTGAGAATCATTCCGACACTCCTGGTGTGAAAAGCTCTCACCCAGGCTGAAGTCAACCCCATCCTGTCGGTGGTATACGCCACCTTAGCCCCGTCCTAGTCCCCCTAGTCCTGGGAGCCACACAGCACGAATATGCTCCCCCTCCACGTGACTTTCAGTCCTTTAAAGATAACTGTCACATTTCTACAAATAAAAAAGGTTTCATCTTTTCCAGACACATAATTGCCTGGGTTTCAAATCAATTTCACTGCATGCTTTGAAGTTCTTGGTCATTCTTTGGGCTCAAATGTCTTTATATATCTCTTAAGTTTGGCAGCCCCATTGAAAAGGATTTTTAAATTAAGTAGAAAGATTTGGGGCCAGGGACCAGCAGTTAGCACAATGGCTATGTTGCTGGACTCCGACATAGTCGACCGCGGTTCGAGTCCCGGACCCAGTGGCTTAAACTCACACCGGGCGTGTGTGCATGCATGCCTAAGATCCCGAGAGGAGAGAATGGAGGAGAAGGGACTGCGGCGTGACCATCCCCCCTGGGGGGTGATTTCTCACTTTCTGTCTCTCTGTCTCTCTCTGTCTGTCTGGCGAGCGCACGCACCCTACAGCAAAAAAATAATACCACTCCAAAAAATAAAAAAAGATCTGGGGCCAGCAGGCAGCAAGGTGGGTTAGGCGCTGGACTCCCACATGGCCGCCCACGGTTAGCATCTCGGACCTGCTGGCTTGAAGATCACACTGGCTGCGTGTTCCCATGTGCCCAAAATCCCAAGAGGAGAACAAAGGAGGAGCGACGGCAGCATGGAGGTGATTTCTCACTCCTCCTCTGTTTTTCTGTCTCTCTCTGGAAATTGCATGCATCCTATGGCAAAAAATAAAAACCAGAAAACAAAATGAAGTAAAACAATTTAATGGTTAAAAATAGAATATTATTTCTGAACAGTATCTTGTTTGATTACTGCATTTCTTTTTTTTTTTTTTTGTGTGATTTTTACTTAAGGGCGCCTGC